GCTGGAAGAGGTGACCAAGGAAATTAAAGCCACAGACAGCTACCAGCTCCGGGACACAGAGCTGATCTATGGCGCAAAGCATGCCTGGCGCAATGCATCTCGCTGCGTAGGCAGGATTCAGTGGTCCAAGCTACAGGTAAGAAGCAAATTGCTCTTAAAAGGGTTAGTGAGCATGGACTGTGAAGCAAGGGAGACAAAATTGTTTCCCTGGATGCTAAGGCTACAGTGACTCACACGTGTGACTGGTTCCGGGACACAGAGCTGATCTATGGCGCAAAGCATGCCTGGCGCAATGCATCTCGCTGCGTAGGCAGGATTCAGTGGTCCAAGCTACAGGTAAGAAGCAAATTGCTCTTAAAAGGGTTAGTGAGCATGGACTGTGAAGCAAGGGAGACAAAATTGTTTCCCTGGATGCTAAGGCTACAGTGACTCACACGTGTGACTGGTCAGTAAATGTAAGGAACATCCCATCCTTTGGGGCTTGTTTGGGGGCTCTGAGGAGGAAAGAGCATTGGAAGAGAAGGTGTTCAGGGGGTGGGGTGGGGGGGGTTGCATAGATGGTGAGGATATGTCAGCATTTGAAACTGCAAAGACGACTTAGGAGGTCACACTGTCATCTTCCAAAATGTCCTAGGCTCCTACTTGCCACCTGCTACTTTAGAAACTGTAACCCTGCTGTGGATGGAGGCCACACAGAAATCTCTGGTGAAGTCAAAGGAGCTATACCAGGGTTACATATGGTCCATATGCCAACTCACACACGTCAGTCAGTCAAGCCAAAACTGATGAACTATTCATGGAGCAGCTTCAAACAGGGTATCGGCAGGGATCTAGGTGGCCAAGGTGCTCTCACACAATGGGAAGCCTCCTGTTTCTTTTCTTTTCATCGGGAGGAGCAGTTGGCCATGAAAAGGAAAGGACTAGCTATTGCCAAGCCTAGTGCAGGAAGCTATTCCCAAGAGTGGCTGCTGAACTCTGCCAAGGGAGGTCAGTCCTAGCTTACCTTCCTTTCTACCACGCTACGGCCCCTCCATCCTGGCTTCAATCCCTGCTCTTCCTGCTCTGGCTCACACTGCAGGCGACTGCCAGAACCAGAGGTGATGTGGGTTTTGGTTTGCTGGACATGTCTGTTGCTATATCACTCTGGGGACTGCAGTAGGCTGAGAGCTTTGAACTAGTGTCAGTCCTGAATCTAGCTCCCCAAAATGGACAGGGTTCTGGTACTAGGCACTGAGATACTTCAGTGAGAGGGAACATGCAGGTGTTAGACTCTGCATCCAGTGAGCTAGAGCCTCGCCTCTAATATGGCATCAGCACCAAGGGCTTTCCAGCGTGCGGGGCCTGCTCTGGAGGAGACATGCACTTGTTTGAGAGAGTTCTGCAGACAATCCCTGTCGACTCTTTCAGGTGTTTGATGCCCGAGACTGCACCACAGCCCATGGGATGTTCAATTACATCTGCAACCACATCAAATATGCCACCAACAAAGGCAACCTCAGGTGAGTCCTCTGGGCCCCGGGAGGGAGCCCTGGGTCCCAGTCCCAGGGTCTGTGAACTTTTATGTGTTTGGCTTGGAGTTTGCTCTCTCCCACTCAGCTAGCCCGAGAACCTCTGAGCTGCCCTTAGATGGGGACTCAGGGCTACAGGCTCCTTTGTGCTGGCTCCATGTGCATTTCTGTTGCAGTTCTAGTTGCATCTTCCATAAGCTCTGCACTGACTTTTGGTAGCGGTTGTGCAATGGCATACTGCTTGAGACCATTGACTCCCCTCTCTGTCATGGGATGGAAGTGGGGTAAGCCACCCTCCTGAGCATGAAGACAGGCTGTGTCCCTACCCTGCCCACTTGGGAGCACTGCCATGCCAGGCCAGAGTGAAGAGCCTTCCTGTGAACCGCTTCGAATGCAGTAGGAAGGCTCTTCCTTCACCTCCCCCCAGCAGAACGCTACCACGTGCCTTGACTAAATCACTGGAGAGTCCCAGGTTCCAGGGTGGAGTGTCTGGGTATCGTCAGGGCGGGATTTATGCACAAGCTACATAAGCTGGAGTTTAGGGCCTCCGGTTATGGGGAGTCTCTAAGCACAAAAAACTTACTCGTGTTTAGTTGCATCCTCACTTATGTACTGGCATATACGCAAATATACAATTTTATTATTTCTAGTTTCATTGTCCTTTCTGTTAGAACAATACACTTTTGTTTTTGTTTTGTTAATGCTATGGGGCCTCTTAAAAGTGACATACCTTAGGACCTCAGCATGTCTTAGTCTGGGTCTGTGTAGCTGCTGATGGAAAGGAAGGAGTGTCCATCTCACTGTCTCCCCCTTGGGCCACTCTCTCTTCCAGCTGGAGAGGAGCAATACATTAAACCTCTCTATTGCCCTTCTACCTACTCCACCTAAGGCAGGGAGTAAAACTCAGCCACAGGTACCAACTGAGCTGCAAGTGCACAATGCTGCATCAGACCTGACTCTGTGCTCAAGAGTGCATTGGTCCCAGTGTCCAAGCAATCTTTATCCTAGCAATCATGATACTTAGTGCCTGTGATTTACACAGGTGGGAAAGTAGAAGTAGCCCCATTTCCCCCATGAGAGAACCCAAGAGGACAGAAACCGGGTAACTCTGCCCAAAGTTATGGGTAAATCAATGGTAGACAAGGGAGCAGAGCCCAGATCTCCTGGTCCTGTGCTTTACCCATTGGGCCATTCTGTCTTTAGTTGCAAGGCTGTAGTCTCCTCCTTTCTTTTGCTCCTCTCCCTTTTCTCGCCCACTGGACTGACCTCGCCCTCCCCCTATTTATGGTGGCATGTTTGATCTACAGGTCAAGAGGTCACTGAACAAAGGGCTACATCTGAGCGGGAGATTAATTTGCCAAAGAAACAGAACTCTCCTTCCATCCACATTGCCTGTTGCCAGTCTGCAGACTGGACTGTTCATCTCTAAACACCATCAGGCAGTGATGGGCAGTCTGTGGGCACACAGCATGGCAGGGAAAGCCCATGGCAGGCTGTCAGACAGGTTGCTTAACAAGTATAGCCGCCAATGAGAGCTGTGGTGCAGGCTAAGGATGTTAAATTTAGTTTTATCATCTAATCGACTAGTCGATGGATTTATTGGATTAGTTGTACAGTGGGGTTAGCTCCCAGTTCCAGGAGCTAACCTCACTGCAGCTCTGCCTTTTACATAACATAAGAACGGCCGTACTGGGTCAGACCAAAGGTCCATCTAGCCCAGTAGCCTGTCTGCCAACAGTGGCCAGCACCAGGTGCCCCAGAGAGGGTGGACCGAAGACAATGATCAAGTGATTTGTCTCCTGCCATCCCTCTCCAGCCTCTGACAAACAGAGGCCAAGGACACCATTTTATCCCCTGGCTAATAGCCTTTTAAGGACCTAACCTCCAGGAAATTATCTAGTTTCTTTTAAACTCTGTTATAGTCCTAGCCTTCACAGCCTCCTCTGGCAAGGAGTTCCACAGGTTGGCTACACGCTGTGTGAAGCTCTTAATATGTTTAAAAGGCTGAAGCACAGCATGGGGACCTGGCACGAGCTGAGACAGCTGATTCTCAGGACACAGCAGGGAGGGAATGTCCTAAGCGGCCTTCTCTGTGGAGAGGTACAAATAGCCCAAGAGGGGTAAAAGCCCAAGAGGGGTAAAAGCAGGATTTGGTGTAGGCGATACTTAGTTTTGACTCTTGGACTTGTTATGGCATGAGGCAGGAATCAGCTGTCCCAAACTCATGCCAGGTCCCCCCCTGCCAGGAGGCTCTTCATACATTTAAAAAGCAGAGGCATGGCATCTGGGACTGTGTGCAAACTGGGAATCAGCTGATGACCAGCTCGTGCCCAGTCCCTGCTACCCTCCCTGCCTCCTGCGGAGATGGTGCTGGGGGAACCAGCTTTTAAGTTGGCTCCCCTCAGCACTGGCTCCTGCTCACCACTTGCTGCCTCTGACAGATGCAGCAATAGGGGTGGGAGGGGGAAGTGACTAGTCGAAGGACTAGTCGACTAGCTGCTTACATCCCTAGTGCAGGCAACAGGGACCCTCTGGTCATTGATTCCCACAGCTCCCATTGGCAGGGAATGGTGAACCGTGGCCAATGGGGAGCCATAGGGAGCTGGACCTGGGGGTGGCAGGGAAA